AAAAGTTTGTGAACCCCTCATCTAGAATGTAATTACAGTCAGACGAAGCAGATTATATGTTAAAATGACCTGCCGTACMTGTACAGACTGACTGACTGACGGAGCACATACTTATGCTTTACTCAGCGGAAGAAAAAGTAGTTCCTCCAACCACGTGATTTAAACAAGATTTAAATAGTTTAGTTATTTTCCTGTTAATGATGAACATTATGTGAAACAACTAAAGTATCAAAGTATCGATATTTGTTATTTTAGTATCGATTCTAGAACCTGTAGAATCGATATTTCAGTATCGATCTGCACAGAACTACTGCTGGGTCAGGATCCAGGACCCAGGGACAGCTGGGGGGTCTCACCCACATAATGAGGCTGCAGGGTCAGACCTTTAATAAAGCCTGTCAGACCTGGACCGGATCAGATCTGGACCAGTCTGTGTTATCACACATTCTGACAGAACCACACAGGACCGGTCCTGCCTCAGACCCACTGACACGTGAGCACTCCGTGATCAGGTGTGGACAGCTCCACGTCTCTACACGACTTTACAACAGTGTGTCGACTGCTGCATGCCCCCCAGGTGTGAAGGAGCCCCCCAGGTATGAGGAGCCCCCCAGGCAGAGGGATGATAATCCCTGSTCTGCCCCCGGCCCTCCTCACACAGATCCCGGCTGTTATCAGAGACATGTCGGTTCAACTTTAACTGAGCTGTTTGTTCTTCACACATCCTCTGTTTACACATATTAACTAACTAACTAGCTAGCTAGCTAACCAGCTAACTAGCTAACTAACTAACCAGTTAACTAACCACCTAACTAACCAGTTAACTAACCAGCTAACTAACCAGCTAACCAACCAGCTAAGTGAAGCTGGAGCCTGAGTGAGTCCAGAACCTAGCACACAGCAGGATTATCCCCGCGGATCCAGACAGGACGAACCGGGCCGGGCCTGACAGCAACACAGCGGCACACACACACCTTTAGCTTTGGGTCCTTTCACGGGTTTCTTCGGAGCCATGGTTTGTCTGTCGGAACCGAGCGGTCCAATCCGGGCCGAGGAGGTCCAAAACTACGTTCCGATAAATGAAAAGAAAAGAAAAATCCTCCTCCTGTCTTCTAAAACTGAATCTGTTCACAGGGTGACTGACAGCTGTCCCGCCCAGTAGGAAAGAAGGTGGGCGGAARAGGGCGGGGCTCAAAGACTCAGGGTCCAATGAAATCCAAGCAKCTCGGGCCTTATTCAACCGTGTGGATGATGGTCTTATTTAGTCCCGCCCCCCGTTTCCCTGGAACGTGGCAAGATGGTAGACCCCTGTTTTCATCCTCCAGCATCCAAAAAATATAAATCAATAAATCAATAAATAAATAAATAAATAAATAAATAAATAAATAAATAA